AAAAATCTTTAAGTAAATAATAATACAAGGGAAAATACTGAAAAAACTACAAGCAGAAGGACAATAAATACCCCAAGATTTCACAAAGTGAGTTATCACTCTTTGACTGTAATCATTTATTTTGTGATTTTGCAAAGTTAGAAATTAATTAATAAAAAAAGAAAAAAAAAGAAATTACTTTAGGAATGAAGATGTCCTATAATATCAATGCTGATGATGTGCAGGCACTTCCAAACCCCCTGGGAAATGCTGGGAGCAAAAGATAGATTGTGAGTTTGAATAAAACAGTTGTTGATTTTACCATGACATGTGTCATCTTTGTGCTGCTTCAACTTTTTAACAGCCAGTATTCATACAGTTTTATCTTCCACACTAAGTACAGTGTAACTTCTAAGAAGAAACCCTGCAGTTATTTATAAGAAGAGTTGAAATTAATGCATGAAAGATTTCACAGCTCTAGTTTAGCATAAAAATACATTCTTTTTAATAATTTTATTCAATAAAGCCACATTCAACTTCAATAACTGCTTATATGTCAGATTAAAATCTACATGCTCAAATTAAATGGCCCTGGTTCATATTGGACATTATTTTGATTATGGTGGCTTTCAAAGAATCTTTGGTGTTATGAGGGTGTTCAGTGAACTCACTCTCAACAATGCTCCCCACAAAGTTGTCTGAGGAGTTAGGAGGCCAAATGTTAGGGGTTATGCAATCATGGAAATTTTCAGCCATCCATTCATGTGAGAGCCTTGCTGAAAAACATAAGGCCTTCAATTGCATACACTGTCTATTCAGGGCTTAACAACTATTTTCAGGACTTCAATGTAGGCAGCAGAGTTAAGTGAGGAGGCATCACGTCCTTCATTGCTGACAACCCCCCAAAACCATGACAGTTGCAGGAAATTTTGTGTGCATAACTATTGGAACTTCAGAAGGGTTTGTGCATAACCATCTGTCATTTTTTCTGTTACATTTCTGACTTTGGTTAAAGTATTTCTCATTTGAGAAAAACCAAACACACCATCTGCTGGATTTTTAAGTGTGTTTAAGAGCTTTTTGATCTGTTTAAGTGGTGGTCTTTTGTAATTTTTTCTGGCATAAATTGACCATAAGACTTATATCTGATGTCTTCAAGGACAACTGATTGTTTCTTCTGACACATGGAAATCTTTCATAAGTGATATCATGAAATTTCTGGATAAATTCAGGTGTTTTGATAATATCAGAGAGTGTGGAATGCTTTTTATACTTTGATATTAGTGATACATTTCATCTTTGGTCTCTAATAGAACATCTGGGTAATTTTAATAAATCAAGCTGAATAAAATGTTTGGATAAACAAGACCAAGCATTCTGATTTTCAGCAGAGATGATACAGTCCCAATCCATTTTCTGAAGCCATAACTCACTAACAAGTATTCCCCCTTTAATTGTAATAGGGTAAAGGATTATTTATATATATTACCAGAAATTTGAGATGTTTCTTTTTGTTTTGGCATTTTCATCAATAAAACTACTAGCAACTTGTATGGTCTCCTTAGATGGATTATATCTGTAACATATTACCTTCATTAACTCACAACCATATTGGTTGTGAGTTAAAGAAGGTAATATGTTACAGATATAATCCATCAAAATTTCCATCTTTCATCACTTGAGTTTTCAACTCTTCACAATTACTATTGTAAGATCTCAAATCAAAGCTTCCCTCACTCATTTTATCTATTGATTCTTGGTTAACAGATACAAAAACTTTTCAGGAGAATTACTAGTTTTCTCCAAGTTAAAATGAAAATTCTTTAACATTTCAGCATATTCAACTTCTGGGAATTTTTTGATAATATGGACAATCACACAATTCAATATAAATAGGCAAAAAGGCCACAAATTAAGGTAGTGCAAAGGTAAAAAATCAAACAAAATCTATTGTTATCTTCTTCAACTTTAAGTGTTATCATTAGAAAAAAATTAATGTTTGATACAGAAATACATATTTGTTCATATGGAATAACAATAATTTCAATGTGTTCTGTTAGGTTTATGACCAGGATGGGTTGCTTCATTTAGTAAAGGGGCTTCATTTGTCTTAAGTGAACAATTAAAAATTATTTTGATAGTTGTTTGCTTCTCAGATTTGAACATAGATCTATAGGATCCAGATCTTATATAGTTCTCAAAACTTACAAAATTAAACAAAACATAGGTTCCAAATTAAATTACACAACTAATGTAATTTGATGGGTTCAAAAATATCACATGGCATGTCATCAACTATGTCTGCACATTTGACCTTAATTTGACCTGATCAAAGGTACAGTTGTGCCCAAATTTTGAAATTTGGGACTTATAATGCTTATATAAACAACAAACAATTAAGAAACAATAGTGGTGGGAAAAACCAGCCGAAAAAGCTATATACTGTGTGATGATACTAATCATAAAATAACTTTTAACTGAAGTACAGACTATAAGTTAAAAATCCTTTTTTTAACATAACCACAGTCTATTTCCTTCATTCAATGCAAACTAAACTCACGTCAGCAAACAATGAAGCAATCGACACTCAAATATCAAGTCACATTCACATACGCTTTTTCCACAAACATTTTGAATATGTAGAGGGCCGTGTGGGTTTGAGTGTTGTTGTATTAGGACACATACTGTTTATTTCCTGCTAGAAGAAGGTCCAACTACAAGAAAAATGGCAGGCTCAAATCAAGTCCGACTGAAGAGGAAAAGAAAACAAACAAGACTATATATATATATATATATATATATATATATATATATATATAAATATATATATATATATATAAAAACAAATATATGTATTAAACAACACAATTTTACAATGGGCATAGACATTAACATTTGTGTTTGTTCTTTGGTGAATGTTCATGGCATTCGTATTAGTGATAAGTAATATTTAGTGAATATCGTCAGCAAATTTTTATGTGAAAGTTGTGTTTTGTAGAATGTATTTCAAGATAGTGGGTCATCCAAAGATTGCGTCACACAGAATTTATTCAAAGACAGTGGGTCGTCTGAAGATTTTGTTGTGTAGAATGTATTCAAGGACAGTGGGTCGTCCAAAGATTGCGTCACGCAGAATTTATTCAAAGACAGAGAATCGTCCGAAGATTGTTTCATACTTAATCTCTTCAGTGTAGAAAACTTTTGTACATTAAAGGCATGGTAAGCAATGTTGAAATCTTGATAAACAGTGGTGTGAAATGTCGCACATGGTGTAGAATATATGTTTAAGCATGTCTGCTGGGTGAAATTGGGTCAAACGTCACCGCGAGAAAGAAAGGGTGAAGCAAAATAGACCAAGTGGGAAGAAGGTGCCTGTGTATTGTTGCCTGCTGAATCTTTCCATTGTAGTAGTCATTCTAGGGGTGATTAAGAAATTCCATGTGTTGTAGAAAAAATTCTATTTGCCATACCGGAGAAATGTGTTTTGTATAGACATATTGTAGCAAATTAAAATTGTGATTTTGCACTTTCATCTGATCTAATCACAAATTTTATTGCTGTATAAATGTTTTTTTTTGGTTAATAGTGTCTGGCGTGTGTATTAGTTTTTCAATGTTTTCCCTGCCTGGCTCTCATTTGGAAAGTGTGTGTAAATAGGAGTTTGTACATATATACAGTCTTGTTTCTGTTAGCAGCAGTTGAAAAATCACGTCAGGAAGTCACCAATTTGTTGAGGGCTGGGGGGTTTGTGAGTTGTTGTTTTAGGAACACGTGGTGTTTATTTCCTGTTAGAAGAAGGTCCAACTACAAGAAAAATGGCAGACTCAAATTAAGTCCAATCGAAGATGAAAAGAAAACAAACAAGACCAATATATATATATATATATATATATATATATATATATATTGTTCTTGGGGCCGAGGTTTTTATATACGATAAATGTGAACAGCCAAGACAATGACGGGACAAAGGCAAAGGTTTTGTTATGAACAAAAGTGTCGAATTTATTAACACGTTTACATCGGTGTGGTCGGGTATGACTGGTTGATCGATTTAACGTAGCTGGTTGGTCGAATGTAGTTGATCGGTCCGGTAGTTTAGGATTGGTAGGCGTAACGAGCTGGTTCGGGTTGAATATAGTTGGTCTGGCCCGGTAGTTTAGGATTGGCAAGCGAACGTAGCTGGTTCGGCCGAATGTAGCTGGTCTGGTCCGGTAGTTTAGGGTTGATCTGGCCCGGTAGTTTAGGGTTGGTCGGCGAACGTAGCTGGTTCGGCCGAATAGCGAAGACGGAGTCCTCAAACAGGGCCAAGGCAGAACAGTGATGCGATTTCACAGGGATTGCGCCAAAGTGTATCACCAGGCGAAGACGGTGTCCCTAAGCAGGGCCAAGGCAGAACAGTGATACGACTTCACAGGGCGGATCGACCGCGGTGACGGGATCGCGCCAAAGTGTATCACTTTGCGAAGACGGAGTCCCTAAGCAGGGCCAAGGCAGCACAGTAATACGACTCCACAGGGCGGATCAACCACGGAAACGGGATCGCGCCAGAGTGTATCACTAGGCGAAGCAGGTCAGAGAGGTGTTACACCTTCCAGGGCGGATCGACCGTGGAGACGGGATCGCGCCGAAGAGTAAACACTCTCGACAAAAGCACCGGAAGTTCACAAAGGCAGCGTACTACACTTTGATCCAGGCCTCCGGGCCGAGCAGCTTGGATTTGGGCGACAAAAGTGGCTAAGAATATTTGGAAAGAGTTGTTCAAGTGCTCCCTGGCTAGAGGGAGTAGAAGACCGTAGATAATAAATTAGTCTATGGTTGCTGATGTTTGGAATGGCTCTGCATAGTCAGATGCACACTAGGTATGGTTTGGCATCAACGATATTGGACTAGCCGTCCGGTTTCTCGCATGTTGCTTGACCTAGATCTGCGAGATCGGGAGTTGTGAAGGTCAAGGTCGGCTTTCTAAGGAGCGGATAATCGGCGACAAGGCCCTTCTCCTAGAAAATTGATCATATCAATTAATAATAATAATATTTACGAAGGTCTTTAGGGAAAGTGACCCTCCTACCGGATCGGGTCTGCCGCACAGGAGTCGCTGGGGTGTCATTTGATGTCTGCGGTGCTGCGTCTGTTGGGTGCGCTGGAATAGCATTAGGGGGCCGCAGAGCCGGGTTTGCGTCATACTGTCGCTTCTCCAGAAAAGCAGGCTCGGTCCGATCGATTGCGATGGTGTCGGTCGAGTTGGCGCGCTTGATCGTAAGGTGCTTGTCGGTGCGTCGAAGAACCTGAAAATGACCTTGGTATGCCGGCGTGAGTGGTCGTCTCACGGCGTCGTTCCGTACGAAAAAACGAATTTGCAATCTCGCAAGTGTTGAGGGATGTACGAATTCACCGGTTGCTGTCGCGGAGTTGCATATTTAAGCCGGGCCATTTTGTGGCGGAGTTCCTCGACGAAAGGAGATGTTGGTTTTGAAAACGTCTGAAGGAGTCGTCGAAATATTCGCCGGGTAGCGCAAGAGCTGTACCGAAAACCAGTTCGGCGGGTGAACAACCTAAGTCCTCCTTTACGGTGTTCCTCAATGCTAGGAGAATTAAAGGTAGGTCGTCCACCCAATTGATAGTGTCAGGTCTAGTGGCCAGGGAGGTTTTAAGGGACCGATGAAACCTCTCAACTAAGCCGTTGGCGCACGGATGATAAGCGGTAGTCTTTATGTGCTTGGCGCCAAGTAGATTGGTAAACTCCGAAAAAAGGGACGACTGGAACTGTGACCCCTGTCGGTCGTGATGACTTGGGGCGTGCCGAAAGTTCCAATCCACTCTTTCAGGATGGTCCTAGAGACGGTGTTAGCAGAAGTGTCTTTTATAGGTATGGCGGTCGGCTACCGCGAAAAACGATCCACAACCGTCAAAAGATACTGGTAATCCTGACACATCGGAAGCGGTCCCTCTAAGTCGACATGTATGTGTGAGAACCGTGCATCGGGACTGCTGAAGGTGCCGACGGGGGATTTAGTGTGTCGGTGGACCTTACACTTCTGGCACTCTATGCACGTGGAAACCCATTCTCGAATGTCCGCATTCATATTGGGTCAAACGAATCGGTCGGTAATAAGTTTGACCGTAGCTCTCTTACTCGGATGAGACAGCCCGTGGAAATGTTGGAATACCTGTCTCCGAAGTGTCGGTGGGATGTAGGGCCTAGGGCTTGCTAGGCTGGTGTCACAGTACAGGGTGTCGTCGCTGAAGGATGCAGGGAACTCCCGAAGCTTTAAAGAAGTATTTGAAAGGACGTCTTGCAGCGTGGGGTCGGATTTTTGTTCAGCGGCTATGGAATCTTGACCCAAGACGCCGGTCTGAAGAGATTGAATTTCCGCTCGCGATAATGTGTCTGCGACGGCGTTGTCCTTCCCCTTTATGTGACGAATATCGGTGGAGAACTGTGACAGGTAGTCGAGATGCCGGATCTCGCGAGCTGTATACTTGTCAGAGTTGTTACTCATCGCGGTTGTCAACGGTTTATGGTCGGTATAGATGGTAAAATCTCGACCTTCCAGTAAATGCCTGACGGCCAGATAAATGGCCAGCAGCTCTCGGGAGAAGGTGCTATATTTTCTCTGGGCTGGCGAAAGCTTGGCTGAAAAGAATGCGATGGGTTCGCGTTGTGAGTTGAACTCTTGCTCAACCACCGCGCCCACACCAGTGTCCGATGCGCCGGTTGTCAGGAAGAGTCGCGTCTCTGGATCGTCGTTGATATGCGAGAGCCTAGTATAATTGGCCAATGCAGCCTTCGCTGTATGGAATGCGTGCAGAGCATCTCCCTCCAACGAGATGTCTTTGTTTCTTCTCTGCAGCAGGTTTGTCAGTGGCTGGAGGATGGTAGCGCAATTTGGTATGAACCGACGATAAAAATTGAGCATACCGAGGAAACGTCGCAATTGTTTCATGGACGTCGGTGTGGGAAAATCCCGGATCGAGCTGATCTTGTCTGGCAGAGGTGCTATGCCGTCTGCGTCGGTGCGGTGCCCGAGAAAGTCAACGCTGGGCGCCCCGAAAACGCACTTGTCCAGGTTCAACTTCAGGCCGTAGTGCGAGAGTCGCTGGAAGACTTCTCGCAGGTGTTGCCTGTGAGAATCGGCGTCTGTACTGGCCACCAAGATGTCGTCGATATAAGCGTATACATGCGGAAGTCCGCGCAGGACTTCGTCTATGAGCTGTTGGAAGGTCTGGGCAGCGTTACGTAGGCCGAACGGCATTTTCAGAAATTCGTATAGGCCAAACGGTGTTGTGACTGCCGTTTTAGGGACGTCTTCCGCAGCGACGGGGATCTGATGGTATGCCTTTTTTTTCAGGTCGATTTTTGAGAAGATGCGAGCACCCATCAATCCGGATGCAAAATCGTGGATATGAGGGACAGGATATCTGTCTGGTACGGTCGATGCATTTAATTTTCGGTAGTCGACGCATATCCGAAATTCTTCACCACCAGGTTTAGGCACTAAGTGTAGTGGCGAGGCATAAGGGCTATCGGAAGGACGAATGATGCCATCACTGAGCATTTTGTCGAATTGCTTCTTGGCGTACGCCAGTTTGTGCGGAGCGAGCCGTCGCGGATGGGAGTGTGCGGGAGGACCTCGGGTTCTGATGTGGTGCTGAGTCTGATGGTCACCTGAAGCCGTTACTTGGAGTGGCAGCGTTATATCCGTGAACTGCGTCAGGAGATCTAAGTACTCGCGACCATGGCATGTTGCGACGCTGATTCCTGTGGAGCCTTGACGTGTAGGGGTACCTAAGACACGGAGATTCGTAGTCGTAGGGTTCATATGGACCGCCAGTGCGTAATGCGCCAGGAAATCCGCGCCGAGGATGTGTACCTTTACGTTGGCCACGGTAAATGTCCAAGTGAAATCGCGTCGCATGCCGATATTCAGAGTAAGGGTCCTTTCTCCGTACGTGTCTATCGCGGAACCATTCGCAGCTCGTAGTTTGACCAGGGTGGGCCTAGCGGTGTGGTCGTTCTGAAGGGGTACCACGCTGATGGCCGCACCTGTGTCCACCAGGAATTTCAACTTGTTCCGTCGATCCCAAACGTAAAATAGACGACATTGCGTGTTGGCACCGGAAGAGTTAGTCGTCGCGACTCTCCGGTTTATTCGTTTCCCCGGGCCGACGGGTGTACAGGAGGTTTACAATTCCTGGCCCCATCGCCGAATGTGCGATGAAACCAACAAACACCCTGGTCGCTTTGCCGTTCTCGGCTGGGGGTTCGTCTCCGTCGAGATGGGGTCGATGTCCTCGTCCGCGGGCGTAGGGAGATCTGGAGCTCCCGAATTTGCCGTTGAAGGTCGGCCAACGCCCGTTCTGTTTTACCCGGCTCGTAGCGTTCGTGCTTTGCTATGTCGGGGGCGCGAACAGCGTTAACGCTGTGGTCGAACTGTGCGAAAACTAGATCAGCAGACACGTTGTGCTTTCCCAGCTGGTTCCTCATATATCTGAGAAGCTGGGATGGCGTTTTGTCCCCTCTAGTGGCGTTCCGCAGTATTTCCTGAATCATATCCTCCTCGGAACGTCCGGTTCACTTGAGGATTGCTTCCTTTAAGTGATTGTACGGTTCATGCTCGCGCAAATCGGAGAGGACGTCAGAAATTTCGTCCATCATATCGGATGGGAGTTTTTGCATTACATTCGCGAATCTGGCTCGCTGTGAAGTGATGCGTAGCATTGAAAAGATGGATTCCACCTGCAAGAACCAATTCTTGGCATTATGGTGGTATGCAGGCAGAGGTATGATCGCAGCCGTCATGTCCAAAGAATCACTTTTAGCCGACTCCATCATCGCTTAGCTGTCTCACGTCGGGAAGTCACCACTTGTTGCGGGGCCGAGTAGGATGTCGCCCCCGCAAGGTTTTTATGTACGATAAATGTGAACAGCCAAGACAATGACGGGACAAAGGCAAAGGTTTTTGTTATGAACAAAAGTGTCAAATTTATTAACACGTTTACATCGGTGTGGTCGGGTATGACTGGTTGATCGACGAACGTAGCTGGTTCGGTCGAATGTAGTTGATCCGGTCCGGTCGAATATAGTTGGTCTGGTCCGGTAGTTTAGGGTTGATCTGGCCCGGTAGTTTAGGGTTGGTCGGCGAACGTAGCTGGTTCGGCCGAATAGCGAAGACGGAGTCCCTAAACAGGGCCAAGGCAGAACAGTGATACGACTTCACAGGGCGGATCGACCGCGGTGACGGGATCGCGCCAAAGTGTATCACTTTGCGAAGACGGAGTCCCTAAGCAGGGCCAAGGCAGCACAGTAATACGACTCCACAGGGCGGATCAACCGAGGAAACGGGATCGCGCCAGAGTGTATCACTAGGCGAAGCAGGTCAGAGAGGTGTTACACCTTCCAGGGCGGATCGACCGTGGAGACGGGATCGCGCCGAAGAGTAAACACTCTCGACAAAAGCACCGGAAGTTCACAAAGGCAGCGTACTACACTTTGATCCAGGCGAGATTTATTTTGTAAAAAATACAAAATTGTGGCACAAGGCCCAAAAGGGGGAGGGGGTAAGGCTGGTCTTCACTAACTATCTTATACCTAGCTAATTTGATTCACGACCCATTCAGACATTACAGTTTACTCATTCACCATAAGAACTCGTCCGTCACCAATCAATCCTCCTTGCACCATAATACCACATCCACTCTAGGGAGACCTACAAAACGCGCCCCATGTCATAATGATCCTAACACATATGTACAAAAATTCTAAGATGAAAAAATGAGATGGGGGTGGGATGTGAACCCAATAACAAACTAAAATATTAACATAAATGAAAATAAAAAGTTAACTGATGTTAGTAGGGCCCTTCCAACCCTCAAAATGCAGGGAGACCACTGTATTCTGCTCATTGGAACAAAATCAAGCAGCTCTCTCGCTAAGGGAGTGGGAAAGGTGATAAAAATCATACGGGCATGGGGAAGTATAAAGCTGACCCAGTCGAGATAGAAAGTGGGGGATCAAAAAACAAACTGGGGAGGTTGGGAATCTCAGGCTGGATCATAACTAAAGATGTGGCCGGGGGCAGGCCGGGAACAACACTTACTCGCATTAACTAGGTACACCAAGGCTTGTCTAACCTAACCAAGGGGAGGGAACCACAGGAAGCCACCCCCGATGTAACGTAGGCTTGACCTAAAACAGAAAATCAAGGCTAGCCCCGTTCACACGAACCAAGCTCGCCTCAGTCACCCACCTTTCGCTGAAGACTGTCGAATGCAAGCGTTTTCTATCAGTTCTAATCTTCGTCTTGAGCTGATGCTCAAAGAATCGGATCAGATCCTGATGAGAAAGACGGTTACCCCGCAAGACTTCCTCCTCTCGCGTCGTCCATATCACCATTCGGGCCGTGGCTAGCAGCATGAGAAACACCATCCGTTTCACCCCGGAATACGGGGGCGACACATTGTCACACGCGTATGCGCGATCCATGGGCACAAGCTTTTTCGGGAGCGAGACGAGCCGTCAGCTCGCCGACATGGTCCCATAAGGGGCGGACACGGGGGCAATGGAAGAAGGCGTGCGAAGCCGTTTTCCTCTAGACCAAAGGCCACACCGATCGCAGTCTGGCAAGTCCGCCAAGCCCCATATGAAGGCCATGTCGTTGAGAGGCAGCCGATTCCGAGCCAATCGCCAGGTAAGCGAAAACTCAGGGTTACTGAGGTAATCCGCCGCTGGCGCCCAAGACCAGTGAGAGCGAAACTCATCATCCGACATGTCGAGATCCTTGCGTAGGGGATCCTTCGCGACCCCTCCACTAGCGAATAATAGAATACCTTCCAGGCCGAGAAAGGTCACTGGACCAAGGGACAGCCAACAAGGCCGACCGACACTCGCGAAAGAAAACCGATTTAATCCGGGGTTTACGACGGCGATCCACCCGCGAGTTTGGGGACTGATGGTAAGGCGAGGGAAGGCGGCCCTCACAATCCCCTCAATAATCGGATCTCCACCTGTCAAAGCGCGGCGTAGGGAAAGCCAACCTCGAGGCACTTTTGTGGCTCAGCAAGTGTGGCATTCCCAGCCCCCCATGACACGGACGTTGTGCACAGACTTCTCTGTCGACCCGATTCGCGCGCGCTCGAGCGGTATCCTGTGGTCGTCACAGAGAGGAAGTACGGACAATCGATAAAGGACAAGAGGGAAAATGTATGTAGCACACACCTCCGCCCTGCCCTTCACGGACAACCTCCGTCGACGCCAAGTCTGACCGGCGGCGTAGACCTTTGCTCGTACTTCAGACCAATTTTTCTCCAGCTGGAGGTCGGGTCCAAACCACACTCCGAGAATGCGGACAGGACCGTCCGTCCAACCGAAGGGCCCTGGAAGATCGACCCCCTTCCAGGCGCCTAGCCGCAAGCCGGACGACTTGTCGCGGTTAATCTTGGCCCCTGTCACCTTTTCGTACCGATCAAGCGCCTTCAGTACTGCCCTGATGCCTCTGCGGGACGACACGAAAGCAGTTACGTCATCGGCGTACGCGGAAACCCTGGCTCGAGCCCCGCCAGGAACGGCGATTCCGCATAGGGCCGGCCTGCACGCCCCGTCCTTCAGCCGGCGAAGGAGAGGCTCCAACGCCAAAGCGTAAAGTAGGCAACCCTGACGAACCGACCTAGACAGCGCAAAAGCGCCCGACAGCTTTCCGTTCACCTGTACCACAGCACTGGGGGAGCGATACAGGAGGCTAATCCAGCGGCAGAAGTCGGGTGCGAATCCGGCGGCCTGCAGGACACCAGCAAGGTAGCGATGGTCAACCCTATCAAATGCCTTGGACTGATCCAAATTGATCAGCGCGGCACACTCGTCGTCTTTTACACTCTCTATGATCGTGCGGATCAAATGCAGGTTGCTCTGAATTGTTCGACCCCTCACTGAACAGGTCTACTCGGGACCCAACAGAGACTCGGCAACTGACTGCAAGCGCTCCTGCAGGATCTTGGCCATAATCTTTAACTCTGTGTTTAGCAGAGTTATGGGCCTGTAGTCGTCTAGTTTCCCCCCCGACACCCTTGCCCTTTTTCAACAGCGTGATCACACCCCTGGAGAACCGGTCGGGGAGAAACCCCTGCCGGAACCAGTTGTTGAAGACGACCGTCAAAATCGGGACAAAGATGTGCGACAGCCTCAAGTACACTTCATAGGGCAGACCATCAAGACTGGGGTTTAAACGATATGGATGCTGTTTGATCGGTTGTTCCGCCGTCAATATTATATCATGTACTGCGGCATTGGTCTGCTGGGGTGTATCCGAGAATATATCCCGATATTTATTTATTAAAGTTCCCAGTTTCTGCTTTTTACATCATCAGTAAGGTGAGCTAACTTTTCCTCCAGATTTTCCAATATTCTGGAATTTTCCAATTTAAGAGGCTGGTCCTTTTCTATCCGGTGTTTATCTTCCTTATATCTTTCTACCTTCTCTTTCTCTTGTTCACTCACTAGCATTACTGCTTGTTCTTCCTTTCTTTTACAAAACATTTTCAACATGTTTATATGACATTTCATTTTACTTCTCCTTCGGCTAGGCATATGTATCAAATAATTCAAACTGTTTAGTTTCTTCAGTACTTTGAACGGCCCCTGGTACTTTGCCTCAAATGGTCGACCGTTCGAAGGTAACATTAGGAGTACTTCATCACCTTCCTTGAATTGCCTGTTAACGGCCTTTCTATCATATTTCTCCTTCATATTCATCTGATTATTTCGCAGATTTTTCATTGCCAGTTCTTGTGCAGCTTTCAACTTCTGTCTCATATTCTCCACATACTCCTTCATATTGCCACGTCTAGGCTGATCTACCATCCATTTTTCTTGTAATAACTGGAGTGGTCCTCTCACTCTATGTCCAAAAATTAATTCGAACGGGCTGAATCCTGTGGATTCCTGAATTGCTTCACGCATTGCGAATAAAACAAAGGGTACTCCCTTATCCCAATCTTCCTGATTCTCCATGCAGTACGTATGGTCTTTAACGTAGCATGGAATCGCTCCAACGCTCCCTGAGATTGTGGATGATATGCACTCGATTTCACATGCGTAATTCCCAATTGACTTGTGACTTCCTTGAATAAACTTGATGTAAAATTGGATCCCTGATCCGTCTGTATAATTTTAGGTAAGCCCATTCTCGTGAAAAAATTTATTAAGGCGTCTGCTACCTTCTTTGCTGATATGTTCCTCAACGGAATCGCTTCAGGGTATCTAGTTGAAGAGCACATTATGGTTAACAGATATTTGTACGAATTTTTGGTCCTCGGTAAAGGTCCGACGCAATCAACTATAATTCTGTTGAATGGTTCTTCCATGGCTGGTATTGGTTGTAAGGGCGCTTTTGGGATCGCCTGGTTAGGTTTGCCCGCAACTTGGCATGTTTTGCATGTCCGACAAAATGACCTTATATCTCTCCTTAGAAATATTTAGTAACTCTGTCGTGCGTCTTCGCCATGCCCAAATGTCCAGCCCGCTGACTGTCATGTGCTATTGATAATATCTCCTTACGA